TCATATAACATAGATGGTATATAATCCTTTATCATCTCAAGATATTCAATAATGTCTTCGATTTCAGAGGAAATATTTTCAAGTCTATTATCTATATCCAAGCCATGAGAAGGAGGAGAAGGATGTGTGAAATTATACTCATCTTCCGTAGGCCAATATATTTTTTTGTGACAGGTTTATATTCTTTATGCATCTCAATTACTTTTTAGCTGAAAATATTCAGATTGTCAGTGAAGATCAAGTGATCCTGACCCATACTAAATAATTTGTGAATGAATGGATTGCCAAACCCGAAATTAGTTTTCATAAATCTGCAAATTAGGTTTGTTAGTCTCTAAAATGTTTAATGTATAAAAATGAGCTAAGTATATAATTAACTGCAATACTTATCTGTCTATAACCCTTTATACCGTATTCTAACTCTCAACTATAAAAAATTTTATTCTTGGATATGTCTACTAACCCAACACCTAAAAATGTTTCATGTCTTAAAAACCTTGCTTTAAATATCCTTAAAAACGGCGTCCCAGAGGTTATTACAAAAGGTGTTGAAGTTCCAGAACTAGATCCATGCTCAAAGTGTAAAGAAGAGCTTTTTTTGTATGAACTTAAAAAACCATTTACCATACTCATCTGTGGACATATATACCACTGTAGTTGTCTTGAGGATTATGTAAAAGATCTCCCACAATGCCCTGAATGTGCAATGGAAATTGAATCTATTGGTTATGCGCGTTATTCTGGTACTTCTGAACCTAGTTCACAGGATCGGGCACAGAATACCTCAGACCCAATGCAAATTTCACCACAAATGACATCTAGTCAAAACCAGAATACAGTAACCCCATATACATCTCTTATTTTTAACCCTACCTTATCATATGACCCAACATTGTATCCAAATTATGTAGACCTTACCAAAAACAAAGAGCCTAAATCTAAAAAAAGATTACGTGAAGAAAGTGCAAAAAAAGAGCCTCCAAATCTAAAAAAATTAATAGATGAATTATCTACTAAAGATCCAAATTCTGCAAAAAATAATATTTTTACACAATCGGTAGCGATACCAACCACTGAAAATGATCCCGATCCAGTTAATTTTCTCAACTTATATAAAGAACTTATTAGTGCTGAAGATGATAATAGAAAATCGAACCAAGAAGTTATTAAAAGATATTATAATTTTGGATTAAATCTTACGAAACGCCTAGAATACCACAAGAAATCTCACAAAAAGCAAGTTGCCAAAATTCTAGTAAATGACGAAGTTAGAAATCAAATTTCCAAAGAGGTTAGTGATGACGCACTTAGAAAGAAAACAGAACGAGCACGAAAAATTTACAAACTTTTTGATGCCATTGGTGAGGATAAAATGGTACGAGTTAGATCTTTTACAGCGTTAACAATTTCTAAGTTAAGTAAGGAAAATATCAATCATGTAATACTTAGCATTATAAATAAATCAAAATGATCGGTTATTACTGCGCCATTGTCACGTGATACTGTGTCCTCGAGGTCACAGTCTATATTACATTTTTTTCATGAATTTAGATTTTCTTGTAGTTTATAAATAACAATAATTTGTCATGCAAAATTCATCTGTATCACCTTACGTTATACATAATTTATTTGTAAGATGGGTCACAAGCTTAACATGCCCCTTTTTATTTTTCTGAAAGCTGGATAATAAAGCCGTGATTTGTAATCAGACAACGTACGCGAATATTTTCTTTCGAAAAACTATGCCCAAGTTTATTGTAAGTCGAATATGACAGTCAATTTACTACGGGTCAAACATTAACCTTTCAGATTTATAAAACATAGATACCTGAATATTTTAATCGAAGTTGCTCTAGGTGGAATATAGAGGATTTTTTAGAAGAATATGATGACAAAAATGACTTAAGTGAAAAAATAGGTATTTACCTTAGATCCCTTGAGGTCATCGCCGATAACGAAGAAGGGCAAAGGAGTAAACGAGCAAAGGAATTGCTTCTAAAATATAGAGAGGTGAATGTATTTTTCTTGGTTAAAAAAATATATATATAGAGAGAGAAAGCTTGGTAGCGTGTGCGAGATCTAGAGGGTTTCGTACATTCAAGTCTAGAGGGCGAGCTACGAAGTTAGTGTTAGGGCGGGGGCAATCTAGAGGGTTGTCTTACGTTCAAGACTAAAGGTCGACCTAGCATTAACCCCACTGGGGCGGGGGTAATCTAGAGGGTTGTCTTACGTTCAAGGCCCAGTGGGATAGAAATGAAATAAATGTAACGTGGAGGATTAATTAAGAATATTGTTAACCCAAGTTTCTTGTTTAGAATAATCGACCCGATCGTCAAAAAGCACGGAACTTGAATAATGGGCGTATTAGTGGTAACCCCTCAATTAGCATCAATAATTCAACAGTTTCTGGAAATGTCCAAGGAATTGTTTCGAAGAGAAAAGTAATTAGTGATGCCCTGGGCCAAAAGAATATACAAACAAAAAAGGTAATGAAATAATGTTTTAAATTGTATTCACGGGCGTTGTAATTAACTAACGTCACCCATTCAGCAAAGACTACCGTACGTAGAACAAAATATTGAGAATGAAGATGTTAAGGTATGAAAATTTTTAAGTAGTATATAACAAAGAACGAGCTTATAATATATATTACATGCAGAAAGGACTCCCGTTATTTTTCGAATCCTCTCAATTATTATCTTTGCAAGAGATGATTTCGGAAACTATTAAAAGCAGTGAAGGTTTGGATATCAAGTTACTTAAATGGCAACAACATACTCTTCAACAATTGTCTAGTGGAATTTGTCACCCGTCTAAGCAAAATATTCATAATATACTTGGTGCATCATCCATTTTTTATTTCCAACAAAAAAAACGAACAAGGTTATAGTGATTTTTTAACATCAGATGAATCGTTAGCAATTTGGTCACGTGTTACATCAAAGTTCAAAAAACTTTCAATTCCAGAGGAAATAATTGAATTTGTGAAAAAACAAAAGAAGGTTTGTGAATTAAATTTCACATATATATATTATATATTGTATCTTATTATGAATTTTATTAGAGTTTTCAACAAGATAGCCTGGAAACAATCGAAAGGTCCCTTAGACAAAATTCCACAGTTTTATCTGGAAACCTCTTAACGAGGGCATTTTTTAAACTATTAGAGGAATGCATCTTATGGGAGTTCTCTACTAATGTAGATGAATTAACGGAAGGAACATTTATGATGGATTTCATTGCGCCATTATTTAATAAAACAGTTCATTATTTTAATTATACTACATCACATTCATGGTATGATATGATATAATTTCTACAATTTTTTAAGAGTTAACTAATTCACAATTGCTTGTTTTTATAGGATAGATGTAGAATCAAAAGCCTCCAAATTACGCCGAGGGTACGGCCGATGCCCTGACTATAAATTAAATAATAAAGATGGTACACGAACAGGTGTACTTGCTGAGGTAACGAGTCCCAAACGTAAAGGTGATGAGCCAAAAATATATTGGGATATCTATCGAGGAGCAATAAACGCAAAAGACGAAATAGACCAAGACATAAAACAAAACGAAATATGTCCGGATGAAGCAAAGCGAATCATCATTTTCATCGTCGGATTTAAAATGAGTGTATGCATCTTAGGCCTTTTGTCACCGGGTATATATATATTGGCAGAAGTAGATTCGTTAATTATTCCAAAAACCGTTAGGAACCCAGAGTCAATAATGAAATTATATCAAATTTTAATGTCCATCCGGGTTGGTTTTTTTTATTTATTTTATCTGTTTATTTAAATTTTTTTTTGATATTTTAATATTTGGGTTGTATGATACATTCTAATTAATAGGATAACGCGTTAGATATATTAGGTGATCGAATTTGTACTACTCCTCCTCAAACAAATTATTTAACGTGGTTACGTCCAACTGCCACCACCCCAGATAAAGCAGATAATTGATCAAGTGATTTCTCTTTTTTTTTACATGGGATATTAATAAAGATGAATGTATAAACAAACATATTTTAGTTAGATTACAGTTGAATTCTTGTTTATAAAATCATATGGGCCGATTTGACTCTCTGGTGATCATTTGTGATATTTTTAAGTATCTTCAAAAATCATATAAATGAAAATTTATCTTCAGATCAAAAAAGCACACGTATCACAAATGCAGAAGCATTCTCACTTCGTGAAACTTCAGATAACTG